GTGGGATGGGTGGGTTTACTGGGCCGCAGTAAATGGCGCAAGCTGTTGCGGTGTCCCTGCCTGTCGGCGAATTTAATAAGCTACATTTTGACAAATTTTTGGCCTGGAAAATAAATTTTACCGAAACCTGTGATGGTTTCTGTTTGCGGAAATAAACCCTGCCAAAGTTTGAGGCTGTAAGTACTTGACTATGCTTCTGCTTCCACTCAGTAGATTCAAAGGCCGTTTACACAGCAGAAAAATCGGCTACGGACGTGTCAAAAAAGTAGTACGGAACGCATAATTTTAGCCGTTTACACGGATGATGTTTGATCACGGGTCGGACTTAAAGAGGCATAAGGACCACGTTAACAAGGTTGCGTTTACACTGCAGTTTTTGGGGGACCGAACCAATTTCTTGCATGGGACTACTGTATTTGGTACAGCTGTGTGCTGTTTTCGAACATGTGTAATTCTTGTAAACAAAAATGGCGACGCGTGATGCTGAGTTATGGGTACAGACCCGTGTTTTTTCTGGTTTTGGGGCCATAGACGTCTATGGCCCCAAAACAAGAAAAAACACGGGTCCGTACTCATCCCCCAAAACATGGTACGGATTGTTTACACGGGCAAAAATGTGAGGTACGTACTCCTTTTTTGACACGTCCGTACCCGATTTCTCTGCCGTGTAAACGGCCTTTCACTCTGTAGCACAGTTCTCTTTTCCAAAGCATGGGCTCCAGGTACGTCAAGCAAAAGGTTGCTGGTGAAATAATCCCTTGCCACAGGATCGCCTACAGCAGATGACCTTAGCATATTGACATCAAACATTTTGACAGTACCTTGTATTAAAGGAATAGTTGGGAACTCCGTACACCTATCATCAGATGGAATATTGTTACTAAGATAGTTACTCACAAACAAGGTATGGGGCCTTCCAAAGTCCTGCATCTGATCTGACAGTGGTGAACCGAGAGGTACATTTCCAAAGATAGTATTTACCATCTGGCCAGGTTCTTGATCGGATAATAAATAGGAAAATGGTGGTGGCTTTTCTTTTTTATTGAGTCGACTAACTTGATCCATAATATGGCTATTTCTAAGGCCACATCTCAAGTCATGCCCTCAGGCTTCGTATAGCTTGCACCGCACCGGATCTCTTGATCTTTCACCCTCTCGATCAGTCTCAGCTCGTGCATAATGGGTGCTCATTACGGGCATGACAAATGATCGTAGCGCGTGGAATGTGCCAGGTTTGGCCGAGTCTCGTACAAGTTGCATCGGATGGAATATCGACAATTTTCCTATACGAATAGTCATTCAGCACATATAGGAGACCAAAGACGTGATTGCGATGTCCCCCGCTTTGCACGTGCAGTGAACTTTAATCACTTGCGCAATGCCATCGATTTCTTGC